AGAGCTTGGCACACAGTAGGCAGTTTATAAGGTTTCTCAATGTGAACAAATAGGTGCTGTGTTGGCCTTTGGTTATTTAGTGATATGCTTAGACTTAACAGAGCATTTAGCCCATAATGCTTTAACTGAGGAGAAAGTCTGCTTAGAAGTGTGTGTATGCTTTCCGTCACCTTTCCCTTCACCCCTCTCCCTCAATATGCTGTTTAATTTTCCATTCTTAAGGCTCATCTAACCAGAGACTCCAGGAAAAATGCCCAATAACTTTAATCTTCAAAGCATTTGTGTAAAGTAGATGATCTACTTATTTTTGATTATGTGCTAATGTCTGCTATTTCTCCCAAAGCTTTCCATTTTAAGAAATAAAACTAATCTTTAGTCTAAGGAATGTACCTTGAACTACACTTAGGGCCTTCAATGAGCTGAATAAAAAGAAATACTAGGGACAGTGAGGTTTTTATGAGAACTCTAAAATCACATGATGTTGGTGGTGGGAAGCTCTGTTTCATCTGTGACAAAGAATATATTCTTTACAGAAAATTGGTCCAAAGAAAGTATGTAATTATAAACACTTCAGTGAGAAATTGGATGATAGAATTCAGACCATTTAAAAAGAGCAGGTCCACAGATTGACATCTTTTCTATAACATGCCATTAATTCATTTCCATTTTTCCAAAAGTTAGAAGATATATATTGAGAAGTACCTGATTCATAACCTGGAGAATTTCTTCTCTGTGAACAATTATGTTCACCGTCTATTGAGTTCATCTTAATAGTTCAATCTTAAGCTATATTAATATTCTAGGTATAGCTTGAAATAGAAAGACAGGCACTGCATATGCTAACTGAATTAATTATATTATTGATTATTTATTGAATCTTTCTTGAGTTCTATTATTTCATAAACACTGTGCTAGAGGAATATAATATAGCCCCTGGCTCAGGGTAAAATTAAGATATAAGGCAAAATATGCTTCCAGTTTAGTGTGCACCAGTTTGAAAGTGAAGCTGAGTGAGGCTTATGGTTCAAGGCAGAAATTGTGTGGCTGAACCGCAGAAGTAAGAGCACAAACTCATCATGGCAAAGGAAAGACATAATTATAGTCCCAGTGAAGCTGCAAGTTCATCCCACAGAAAAGAGTAAGGAAGAACTGATCCCAAAAAAGAAAACCAGGGGGAGGAATAGAAGGTTCTCAGAAACTTGACAGTAGTGACTAGTCAACAAAGTGACTTGCATCTTCTTTAGGAAAAACAAATTAGGCAGGTTTATGTTAGATTCAATCAACAGGAGGAAAGCACACATACTCCAAATAAGGACTCTATGAATTAGTCTGAAATAAAGAGGAAACAGAAGAAACCTTAGGGCATTGTTTTGTTCAAGTCTCAGTTTATAAAAATAAATAGAACATCCCAGGTTAACAGAACATTTGGATGGGGGTGGGAAGGGATTGTTATAGTCTACTGAAAGTGAATACTAGAAGTGATAACTAGAAGAGCTAAATTTTTTTCAGATAATGAAAAGATGTTTATGATATTAAAATGCCATCCTTGAGAAAGTAAATTTAAAATAAAAATAGATGCTTTTGTGACATAATAAAGAGATTTGCTTTGACACCAGTGTCAGATTTATGCTTAGCAATGAAACCCTAGTTTTACTACATGAAGACCACTGCTGGGCGGTGGTGACACACGCCTTTCATCCCAGCCCTTGGGAGGCAGAGGCAGGAGGGTCTCTGAGTTTGAGGCCAGCCTGGACTACAGAGTAAATTCCAGGACAGCCAGGGCTACACAGAAAAACCCTGTCTCAAAAAAAGGAAAAGGAAAAAAAAGAGAGGAGGAATATTCACAACAATAACAATTTTGTATTGAAGTTGAGGTAAAAGGAAGGAATTAGAGTTATATATGGAAAGAAGGGATTGAGGTTTAACAATACTTAGCAAAAAACAATTAAAAGCAATAGGGAAATTCAGCAATTTTTCTAGGATAAAAATTAATGTTGTCATTGAGAGGTTAATCAGTTAGAAAGCATATTTTAGAGAAAACTCTATTCTGTATAAAAAAGATTAAGCACCTAGAGATATGCTTTATATCATATGTATAAGATCTATGTCAAGAAAAAAACTAGTATCACTGTTGATGAGACCTCCATATTTATTAACAAGTAGAAACACATATTATGAACTTAATTAAACCGAACATCAAACATGCTGCTTATTACTAAGGTAAAATCAACAAAGTTAATAAGATTGCAATAAAAAAAATGGGAACGGAAACATTGTAAAAGCCAGAAAAAAGGGAGTCTGCAATGAGATTGTTACTTTGACGGTGGACCCTTCTAATGTAAATATCAGAGAGGGTGCTTGGGTCATGGCTGGCAGCTGCAAGTCCCAGGACTCGAAAATCTTCTTACTTTCCATGTTGGCAGTTTTTCGGGGAGGTAGGGCAGAGGCTGCTTCTTCACATGCAGCGCTCATATGCAGCTGGCTACTGCTCATATGCGGTTGCCTGTTCCTCCATGTGCTGAATTTTGAGGTCCCTCTCAGTGACATCTAATAAATAGAAATTCACCTCGGCTCTATTTAAAAGTATGACGGGAACCTCCTGCTATATACCTGCGTCAAAGATAACACTAAAGCATGCACACATACTGCATAAAAGAATATTTTATAAAAGACTGTTACAATGCTATCAAGAAAGTTTAAGCATCTAAGAGTTGTTTCATTGCGATGTTACAACATCATTGTGAACAAAATTCTGACTCAGTATTGAGGGATGTAAATAAGACATTCACAGAGTCAGGAATGATGGTATTTACCTGTACACCCAACTACTTGGGTGGCTGAGGCAGAAAGATCACAAGTTCAAGTATGTAGTCCTGGACTACAAAGTAAACTCAAGGCTAATCTAGGCAACTTAGCAAGATGCTGTCTTAAAATAAAGATAACAAAGAGGGCCAAGGGTGAAGTTTAGTGGTAGAATAGCATGTGCACAGCCATGGTGTCAATCTCCAACAAAGAGGAAAAAAGAACTTAGCCAACAGAAAAATATATGCTTAGATAAGACTTAGTACTATAAATGCTATTTCCCACTGAGGTGTAATTTATGAAGTTAATGTAAAATACAAATAAGAATTGAGCAGATATGTATGAATATATAGAGATTCAAGTAATTTATAATGAGTGAAATTAAAATAACTTTCATATTTAATGTTTTACTTTCCAAATTGCAGAAATAAAATATTTTCATGAAGTACTTTATGGGCATAAGCATAGGGCAACATTAGATCCTTTCTATCTTTATACTTTCTAACTGAGAATGTACGTTGGTTAAGATTCTATTTAGTAACCCCTGCAAGAATTGTGTGTATCCAAATTCTTTCACCCAGAAATTCAACTTTCAGGGTTCTTTCATGAAAATATACTAGTATAAGATGATTCGTATGCAACATTGAGATGTTTCTTTAGTAATAAAAAGCTGAAATTACTACTAATAGGAGACCAGTTAGCCGAACCAATGTGTTTCTATGCCACGGACTATTGTAAGAGTATAAAGGAAGACAGGGAGTCTATACACCAATATAACTACTCCCAGCAAAGAAAATGGGCTGTTAAGGGCCAGGATAAGGGTGAGAATTTTCATTTAAGTATTTACAATTTGATTCTTAAAATAAGAATCCCAGGTAGAGAGCAGAAGGGCCAGATGTGATAGCACACAGCTCTAATTCCAGCAACCAGGAGGTCAAGGCAGGAGATTTACCATCAGCTGGATCACAGAGTGAGATCTTGTTTGTTTTTTGTTTGTTTGTTTGTTGTTGTTTTAGTAATAGGGTTTTTCTGTGTGGTCCTGTCCTGGAACTCACTCTATAGATCAGGTTGGCCCTGAACTTAGAGATCCCTCTGCCTCTGTCTCCAGAGTGCTGGGATTGAAGGTGTGTGCCACTTCTGCATGTATGTGTGCTGGCATGTGAAATTTTGTGTCAGCATGAAGGAAAACAAAGCACAGAAATGATCCTGTAGCTACCAGTTCATGGGATTCTGGTCTAATTCAGCATCTTCACTTCAAATATGGTAAAGGAAACGGAACAGTGCACCTGTAATGCAAGCTTTTCCAGCTGGGCTATAGAGCAGTGGTAGAGGCCTCCCAAAGCCTTGGGTTCTCTCTGCAGCTCTGCAGAAGGACAAATGGACAAGACTGAGTGAGTGGATAAACAAACACAGTTGCCCACCTCTTAGTTCAATCATTAATATTCTGCTCCCATTGAAGTCCAGGTCTACAACATCAGTAAAAGACATCTAGGGTACCTGGGTAGTGTGCAAAAAAAGTCAACTAAGTAAAGAAACCAAAATTTATAGTGTATTTTAACCAGATTGTACTCCACAATCCTTGAAGTACTTTAAAAATGTTGCCATGGTCTTGTTCATGACTATGCTCATTATGTCTCATTGGTTGGCCATGAGTAGTTATCTTCAGGCTCTTACATCTGTGTATAAGATGCTTACAGTCAGAAAATTTTACTGCATCTGTGGAAAAAAGAATTTCTCTGTGCCATATTGAGTGACATCACTTCCTTTAAGACATGGATCCAAACTTTCGAAGCATGTTAGCTGTCTTTTTTTCCCTTCTGAATTATTTCCTCTCACATTGTACCTTGCTTATATATTACATCAACTCTTAGAATTATAATATATTGTAATTAACGTATTGTATTCTTTCTTTCAATCAAGTTATACAGGCACTAATGAAGTACCCACAAAAGGAGGGAAAGTCTATTAAATGATTTAGGAAAATTCCTTCCTAAGAGTATGTAGTCTATGGAAGAAACAGGAGGAAAATATAAAAAGATCCTTTTAAAACCACTTACAGAACCTTGTGTGGTGGCATAAAGTTTAATCTTAGCACTTGGGAGGCAAAAACAGACCCATTTATCACTATGAGTTTGAGGCCAACCTGGTCTACACAGAACAGCCAGAAATACAGACAGAAACTTTGTCTCAAAAATAAGCAACACGGCCGGGGGTTACTGTGCAAACATAGCCAAGTCCAAGAACCACACCACACACAACCAGTCCCGCAAATGGCACAGAAACGGCATCAAGAAACCCCGGTCACAGCAATACGAATCTCTTAAGGGGGTGGACCCCAAATTCTTGAGGAACATGCGCTTTGCCAAGAAGCACAACAAGAAAGGCCTGAAGAAGATGCAATCAAACAACGCAAAGGCAATGAGTACGCGAGCAGAGGCCATCAAGGCCCTTGTGAAGCCTGCAGCTGTTAAACCCAAGATGCCAAAGGCCCCCAGCGGCAAACTCAGCCGCCTGGCTTTCATTGCTCACCCCAAGCTTGGGAAGCAGATTCGAAGCTACATGGCTAAAGGTCGCAGGCTCTGCAAATCAAAGCCCAAGGTTCAAACCAAGGCAGAGGCCCCAGCTCCAGCAAAGGGCAAGGCTCCAGCTCCAGCTCAGGCTCCCAAAGGTGCCCAGGCCCCTGTGAAGGCCCTGTAGGAAATGGTTCTACTAATGTGAAGACAGATGGACTGGTGTGTGACACCTACACACTATTTACAGATGACCAGTGTCCTATGCTGTTTTTACAAATAAACCTGAGGCAAGATCTGTTAAAATAATAAAAAAAAAAAATCAACAAACAAAACCCATAATAACATAGAAAACAAAAACACAAAAAGAAAAATAAGAATGACTTATGGGTTCCTGTTTTCTACTGACTCATATTTATTATGTAATTACACAGAACTAGAAGGAACTTTTTAACTTATTTCATAACATTTTTGTACTTATTTCATGTGGCTGCGTCTGTTTGATAGACACAGTAAGTAGTGGCAATGTATTAACAGTCATTGAATGCAGGCGGTAAGGGTTCGTAGGAGGGCATTGGATGGATGATGCTTTAAACTTTGCTATACATTTGATAATTTTTTTTTTTTGGTTCAATAATGAGTTGAAAAAGTTTTGATCTGCTGAATTGTACATTCAAGTATGAAGTGGGTATGAACAAAATTGAGCTGTATTTGGTGGTATACGTCCTCACGGCACTGTGGTGCTTAGGAAGACAGACTGTTAATTCCAGGCAAACCTAGATTACAAATCTGAGGCCTCAAAAAAAAAATATATATATATATATATAATCACTCTCATGGCAATAACCATAGGGAAAATCATGAACTTGGAAGATGAGAACAAAAGAAAACTTTCTTTTACATGCCATAAGCACAGTCTCTAAAGAATGGTTTCTAATACCATAACGCATGTAGGAAAGAAAAACTTTAGACTGTGGATAATTGAAGATTTGCTAAAAAGCAAAAAAAAAAAAAAAAAAAAAAAGCAAAAACAAACAAACAAACAAAAAACCACAAAACAAAGACCTGTGGCTTGCAAGATGGCTCAGGAGATAAAGGGACTTGCAGCCAAGTCTTATGATTTGAGTTTCATTCTTGGGCCATCCATTGGAGAAGGAAACTCTCAAAATCATCCTCTGGCCTCCCCACACCCATGGATGAGTGTGTACACATTCACAGACAGAAATAAATAAATGTAATTAAAAAAGAAAAGAGCTCAGATGGCGATTTTAGGTAGATGAAGAGGGAAGATAGAAGAAGGGAGACTATTGAATAAGCTTATGTCATTAGTTAAAATATCATTAATGAACTATGCCCTAGGGTCTTGATGTTTACAAAGGACTGGACAGATCATAGTGATGTGGTTGATAGAAATGAGAATTCCACATTTCCTTATTTGGTATAGAGGAAGAAGTGGTGAAAAACTATTTTGTGCCACAGATTTCAGAAATCCCTCAAACACAAGACAATGTTGTTTTCTTTTTATGTCAGTCTTTTACTTCATCAATCATTGTATCAAATATCAACATTGCCACTGATTAATCTGAGAAAAGAAGATACTCAAAAATATTTATGAGTTGCTTTACTCAGCATTAGAGAGCTGAGCTCAAATATAGTTAATTAAAAAAATATGTGGCTGGAGGTAGTTCAGTTGGTAAAGTACTTCTCTTAAAAGCTTGAAGACCTGAGTTCAGTCCCCAGAACCAGTGTAATGCTCTGGGGCGCAGTGGTGCAGAACAGTAATTGCAGTATGGGACAGGCAGAGACAGCAGCATTTCTGAGGTTCACATGTCAGCCAGACTAGCCTAATTGGAGAGGTTTCGGTCAGTGTGAAATCCTGTCTTAAAGGCAGTAGATAGTGTTCTTGAGAATGACACCTGAGCCTATCCTCTGGCCTCCAAACATACATGCATTCATTTGCATCTACTGAACACACACACACACACACACACACACACACACACACACACCTGCACACTAACCTTTTTGGTTAGGAATAAAGCCTGGCTATTGGCGTGTTGCCAGCACAGCAAGAAGCAGGTATGGTGTTTCACATGTGTAATCCCAACCCTTGGTTGTATAGGCAGTAGAATCAGCAGTTTAAGGTCATCCTGTGCTATGTAAACAGCATCAGGCTACTTGGGATGAAGGAAACAGATCTCAAAACATCAAAACATGAGAAAAAAAAAAAAGAAAAAAAAAAACAACAACAAAGTCAAATCCCACAGTTTTTGGACACAATGCATGTTAGGTCACAGACATCACATCTAGGGTATTTTATTCTTTTTTGTTTAGTACTTCAAGCTTGCATTCCCACTTAAAAGATTTAATCTTACTATCAAGCAGGTGGCCGAGTTTTTCTGTTCTGTTTGAGTAGAAGGCAAAGAGTAGCTCTAATGTTGCCCACAGTCCCTACCTGGAACATCAAAAGCGCATGGGCTAGGTGGACAGCTCCAAGTCCTGTGAACCAGAGCACTGTGTTCTCATGTTAGAAGCAGAGGCATAGCTCTAGATGCCCAAATAAGAGGCTTATTGCTCTGGGTTTTGATGTTTTTTTTCAGTAGCCGAGTACTCTTCAGTTAGGGAGGTCCTCCTCAGCTCTTGGCGGTAGCATCAATCAGCGCCAGCCAGTTCCTGCTCTAAGCCTTAGGTGTCATGACTCAGCCTGTAATAATGGCTGCACCATGAGCATCAAGATCATGAGTCCTTACGCTGCAGCAGCTCTCTGGAGTGTCTTTAAATGGCCTGGACCCTCAGCCTCTCATCTTTGGCTCTTTGCAGCTTCTTTGTTTTTTCAGTGTTGGCTTCTTATGGTCTGGGCATCCGGTTGCCCTTTGGATGTCATTACCTACTTGCATGATGCTGTTGCTACTATTAAGGCAGGCACACTCCTTATTTTCACCCCACTGCTATGTCTGGAAAGCATATGTATTCTGAGCTCTGCCAACGCTAGCCATGATACAATCCAATGTAGGCAAGAAAAGACGAAAAAGGACCTTATAGTCTGACTAATGCTGTAAGAGCAAGGACGTTTCTTGACTAACTTAAAGTGTAATAAGATAGACTGGCTATACAGCCAGAAGAGATTTTTGAGACATGGGTATAGTATACAAACAGGGTGGATCTAGTTTATGCCAATCACTGTGGAACTTTCTTTTTTAATCAAGACCAATGGCAGCAAGCATAGGTATTGACAGCTCTTCTACCTGTCAATCACAGCTCTTTGCTGAGTGGGGGCTGTGTCCTTCTTAGGCTGGATTGATGACAGCTTCTGAAAGGTCATATCAGCCAGATCCTGAGCTCTCTAGAGACACTGTAGGCCAGGTCATCTAAAGTTCATTGAAGCTTGCCTTGCTTCCAGTGGAAGTTTCCACTGCTCACACAGGCTGTGAACTCTTCCACAGGAGCCCTCAGGAGTCCCTCAGCAGCCATCATTATATGGTTACTGGTAGTTGGAATGATATTCTTCCTGGACAGCTCTCCATTCAAGGGTGGTAGGCTTTGGGGAAGCTCTATTAAATGGCCTACTCCCAATAGTTTTATTTGTTCGTGGAGAAACATCAAAAGGTGCTGGTAGAAAAAGATTTAAGAAAGGCTTAGCAAACATCCTTAACAAGATTTATTAATGATCAACAGTGTCTAACCTTTGGCCCAATACCCAGGGATTGCTGGGTCTCCTGGCCCATGTCTGTTTAAAAGCATTGTGTTTCTGTGCATCATGTCATTTATACGGTTCTTACTAACGATTCACAGTCCATCAAAAATTGCACTTTAAACCATCTAGTACTCCTGTAGTCTTCTGCTATAATAACTTTTCCAGCTATCTGTAGTTAGAAATAATGGCAGCCATGCTAATTAAATGAAAGGCACCATCCTTCAGTTGTAAGCTGTGTGACCAGTGTCTTATCAGATTGCAAAAGAAGCCAGAGTGAATGTAAGACAAGATTTTTACATGGATTATTAATTAAGTAAAACTGAAAATCAACAACAGGAGAGATTAGCAGTGGTTACTCATGGGCAGCTGGATGACCTTCCAAACAAGAAGACTGCGCAAATGTGTTGGAAGGGATGGAAGAAGAGCGGAGTATTTATTGGAACCAGTGGCATCTTAGCAGGATTCTGGCTCATAATTTCCTATGTGACTCAACTGTCATTGCACAATCGATGGTTTGAAAGTCTATTTCCTCAAGATGTTGTCATGGTGCTATTCTGTGTCTTCCTGATTCACATTTTTCACTCCTGTAGTTTATCAAAGCATGTTTCAGACCCGTTATGTTTACCTGTTGGATGGACAGCTTTATACTTCATTAAAAATGTCTTAAGAGCTTTACCACCCACACTCAATATCTTTAGGTTTTTTGTTTTGTTTTGTTGCCCTGTAAGTTTAACTGTAGGAATCTGAGGCGTTAGCCCTTCAGTATTTCCTGTGTTATTTTGAGATTTTTCAAAAGAAGTCTTGGTCATGTGCTGAAAATAAATGTCAGTCAAATCATTATTCTTCATTCAGGCAGAGCTTGAAAGTAGGGGTTACTTAAAAATAAGGGGGTGGGGAAGAGAATGATGCTGTTGCAGCCCCAAAAGCAAAATCTCCAATCTAGAAGAGTCGATTCTTTTTCAACTGACAGCATAAAAACAACCTTGAAAAAAATAAACATCGTGGCTTTAGACAAGTTTCCATCTCTGGAAGCTGGTCTTCACTGAGAAACCAAACCACAATTATGTGCAAGAGGCAATGGGATGTGAACTAATTCTAAGATGGATTTGCTGTAGCATGAGTTTTTGTTCACTTTTTCCTAATCTTTATTAAGACACAGTGGAACAATTACTTTCATATCCACAGTTGGAACGGTATTATTCCTTACTTTCAGGAACTTAACACTAAGGCTAGCCCCTGTTATGGCTAGTAATTAATAACTTACAGTAAAAATCATAAATCATATTCTTTCAGGGGCTTACCTCTCCTCGGAAATACATGCGCTGATGAGCTCTGTTTGTTTACTCATTTGTCTTTCTATGTTAATAAAATTTCAGATGTTGTCACTACAAGCAAGTGTTTGGTTTACTAACACTCCTTTAGGAAATACACTATGTTTAGACAGAGTTTTAAAACAATCAGTGTGTGGCCCAAACATCTGATAAACTGTAAAT